GTTGTTTTGAGAATAGAAAAAATGAAAGTAACATTACCATATACTAACATACAAACCACAACAACGTAACTGAAAACATCGGAAGTGATTATGTTGACACTATGTGATATAGAAATGTATCTGACACAGTATTGCACACACAACTAACGACTGTTCAACAGTCTCTATTTCTGAGTTGAGCAGTGAGCGTTTATGACACAAGTCTCTGCAACATTTGACAATATTATCATTACTTCAAGACACCATCTTTCTTCTCACAACATGGAAGGAGTTGGAAATTTAATTTCCATGACCAAATTGAAAAGGTGTGGCCTACGATGAAACAGATGGGGCTCATATAAGACCGCATACACTGCAATGTTACTGAATTGACACTTGGAAGCACAGCAATCACGGTACCAAACAACAAACAGAAGTTCTAAAATAAACAAAGTTGACCATGGGCCATGTAACATTAAATTATTCCGCTCTTTGTCAATTATGCAAAAGAGTAAGTAAGTGGATGACCCCATGCCATGATGTTACCTCGCGAGTGAAGTCTCGACAGCGGGAGTCTGTAAACCGCAAGTGAGATTAAGCCCAATGAAGCTTGCGGAGGGGAGATTGAACTGCAATGGCGGTTGTCCAGCTGACGTCGCGGTTGAAGCACAATGGAGGGAGGCGAACTCCGGCAACCCACACCTAAGGCCCTTGCAGAAGATCACTGCCAGGGTTATCAGATTGGGGAAATCACAAAACGAAGGGATTAGGGTTCTCGTGCGAAATGAAAATGTGAGAGGAAATACCTGACTTTCGCCCTAATTGATCAAAGAAAATGGAGGCACGTGAACTCCGGCAGCAACCACCTACGATCCTTGGAGAAGATGAGTGTGAGGATTCTGAGATTGGGGAAATCAGAGAAGGGGTTGAGGGAATAAGGATTTTCGTGCAAAATGAAAATGTGAGAGGGAATACTCTCATCTTGAGCCTAAATCATCGAAGATATTACGGACGGTCAAGAGCCGTCGGTCATTTATTTCACCAAAGCATCACCGAAGGTGTGTTAAGCCCGGCGGAATAGTTAGCCCGTCGGTAATATTCCGCCGGTAGGTAACCCTTTTCCTGAAGTAATTTAGAACGAATAAGCTTTGATTTATCTGGATTTTGTTTGGAAGGTTTAGGAAGAAAAAAAATTATATTTTTTATGAAAATACAATTACATAAGAGTAAAAAGATGAAATCATCACAAAATTATTTCTACAAAATTAATTATTTTTTGTCGTTGTGGAAATTCAAAACAATAATTAAGATAAAGATTTTTAATTAAAATGTAATTACCATTAGAGAATTAAATAAAGTGATTATTTTTCTAAAAGATTTCAAGGTATTAGTCGGAAACAGGAATCAAGTTAAAACGATTTTTTTGAATTAATGATAATTTTTCTAATTGTGGAATTTAATGGCGGTAATACTGAACAAATAAGAGATTAGAAAAGGTAACTTTAAATTTAAATTTAAGAAACCATTAGAATTAGCTATAATTATTATCTTTAGTGCAATTAGATGACTTAGAGGAAAACTTAATTAAAGATGAAAAGATGATTAAGCTTACGTATGATATTAGGCTGAATATATACAGTAATAGAAGAGTTTCATGCAGAATCATACGTCTTCTTCCTCTTTTCTCTGTTTTACTGTTCCGCCTCTCGCAAATATGGGAAACAATAAAATTCAATGCAAAAATTATAATGAACTAAAAATTTTAAATATTAATATATGAAATGAAGAGACTTACAAAATTAAGTTAAATACTTATTTTAACATTTAAATATTAATTTTTTTTTTTGCAAAGTATATAATTCTTTTATAGTTTTGTAAACACATGATAATATAATCATACAAATAGAAAAGACTTTAAGAAAAAGTTGATGCCTCACGTCATAAACAGCAATCTGCCACCCTTACTTCTGACTTTAAATTTGTTTCATTTTCAACCATTCAAAGCATAATGACTCTTCCATTCATCACAAATAATATTGTTCAAGAAAGAAGGTATACATACATACATACATATATATATATATATATATATATACTACAAAATAAATTACAATCTGCATGCTGCATGAACTTATCTACGATACAATGGAACCTTGTATAAAGATGAATCCATCTTCAATTTCATAGGAACCAAACAACTATTTCTAAATGAACACCATGTGTTGATCACAGAGATCAATGATAATTCCTATTATCGCAGTTGTCTGCTACAGGTTACAATCTTGGCTGCAAATATAGGTATGAAAAAATCAGTATAATAAATGAATTTAGAAGAGAAAGTATAAAATAAGCACAAGTGGAGCTAAAAGAATAGTGCAATAATATAAAAATCGTGACACAAAAGTTACTTACTCTATGAGATCTTTCCAATAAGCATCAGTTACTTCCTCATACATGAAATCTCCCAACATTTCAAAGGTGGTTGAAGTGGAAGAAGGGTCAGAAAATTCATTTGGGTTTACCATGTTTTCCATTTGTTTGCCAGTTGAACATTCGGGTGTGGCTGAAACCAGATTTGGAAGAGAATCTAATGCTGTTGAAAATGAATAAGGGACATGAAGTTGTTCATCGACCTTTTCAGATTTCATGCAACTCCTGTTGCTTCCTCCATTCATGTGGTTATACCCAGTTGGTAGAGCTTGCTGCTGAGGAGGAGCTTCAAAGCTTTGAAAAAAGTTTGACTGATTCTGAGAAAGAAAACCAGTTGAACTATTGTAAAGGTTTTGGAGCTTGGACTGATCCAATCCCAAAATTTCATCTGGCAGTGATGATCCAAAAGGATTGAGCAGGTCCAAGTTTGAGGCAGGACCAGCCACAAGGACTTGAAGCATGTTATACAGCAATTGGAGTTTGGCTAGTTCTGTGGCATCTGATTGCAGCCTTAGAGCATTAATGTCCAAAGTGTTTGTGAAAATGTTTGTAGCAGTCAGCAACTGTTGAAGACTGGATAGAAGATTAAGCTGATCTGATCTTGGACGATGAGTCACTGGATCCAACCCCATTTGCAGAAGCTTTTTCTTTAAATGAGTGTTCCAGAAATTCTTAATTTCATTATCAGTCCTACCTGGCAGATGACCTGCTATAGCTGACCACCTAACCATGGAAATAACGCACACAGACAAAAAAACATCAGTTTATTATCTGTAAAGTACCATGAAAAAGTAAACATAGTTACATAGATCTACCAAAGCATGTTTCATTCTGATTATGCATCAAATGAGACTAAATGAATAGTAATTTACTTATTTCCAAGAACTGCATGTAAATTGATGATGAGTTGCTGTTCTTCCTCAGAGAACTTTCCTCTTTTGATATCAGGTCTCAAGTAGTTTGTCCACCTTAGCCTACAACTTTTCCCACACCTGTTCAATCCTGCAAGTTTTGGAAGTGCTCTCCAACTTCCATGCCCATGTTTCTGAATGTAATCCACCAATATATTATCCTCTTCTGGGGTCCAAGGACCCTTCTTCAAACCACTTTCATCACTGCATGGTGCTCTCCCCATCATCACACTGCATAAAAATGTTGAGAATAAAACAGTATAAGAACTCATTTCCTTCTGTGTTAGTTTCCTTCAAAACCAGTCAGAGCAAAAAAATCCAAACCTTGTTGGATCGAGTAATGAAAGTACATAGACCTATTGGAAGTTACCAGAGACATGATTGTTATCTATCTATATATATAAACATATGTATATAATATAGAACATGTTTCAAAGCTTGTTTACTATGCTGTGGTAGAAATTTACAAGTTTGTCCCGTGTTGTACATAAACAAAGATAAGATAACGACCCTGAAAAAGAGCATCGAAAGACACTCCTTAGAGTAACGTTGCTTCTAATTGTAGTGTTTGTGATTTCAAAGGGTAGACGCAAACATGATTAGCCACAGTCATAGATTTTCATTTTTTTATCAAACAGTTTATGCAAATGCTTTTCCTTTGACGACCCATTTTAGTTTTTTCATCCATTTTTAAAAACTGATAATTTGCATCAGCAGTCTAACTGAAAAGGAAAGTTTCATATTTATATCAGTTATTATTAACTTTTTCAAAAATGGAGGAAAACATAATAGGGTACGCATTTATTAAAAACTGCATTAATAGCATGTTCTTCTTTGCTTTAGTTTGTCTTTTCCTTAGTTACATTGAGGAGCATATCCATGAGATTAGCCACGTCAAGTGTGAAATTTGACTCCATGACACGTTGTTTATATATGCAGAAAACACGAAAATGGAGGAATAAAGGGATAAAACATGCAGAAATTTTCAACGTGAGCTTGGCTTGTCCAACAAGAACAAGGCACAATCTGGCACATACGTATGACAATGGCCACCTTCTCCATATACTTTGCACCAAGAAGGGAAGCAACAAACTTAAACTACCAACGAGGGTAGGTAACCACGTGGCAGCTTCTCAGCAACTTTCAACCTCACTTTTCATGTCCCACATTGAAAAGAAACCTCACTCTCAAAATATCGACCATCTATATATATATGTATATAGCATAACTATGCCATTTATATTGTTTCATCTTGTACTCTAATTAAATATTAAATATATGCAGTTTTTTCTGTACTCCACAAAACCCTAACGAATACATAATTTCGTGTCAATGTAAAAAAGAATAATGTATAAAGAAAAAAAAAATCTGAAATCGTTAGGATTGTTAAATTTTTTATTTGAAAAAGAAAAATCAAACTATTAGTGAAATCTTTGTTTAACTTAGTTAAATAATTAATGATTTTGGGAATCCATGTTTATATATATATTAGCCATACAATAGCATATACTAGTAATTTAACTATATAAATGCATTATATACAACTAATACATAGTCACAATCAGTATTTATATTAAAAATTTAATTCTCATATAGTCTAGGAGATCAATTTTACCTAACAATGCCTAACACGTTTATAAATGAAGTCATTTGTCAGATAAATATTATTATACCGCCATTAAATAATAACATGCATTAAGCTACTTTACGTTTATAATAATTAACTTATAAAGTCATGGAAAAAATTAACAATATAAAAAATTTATACTAAAAATAAATGTCCATGAAACTCTAATATTTTGTATTAATAATATAATGTGATTATAGTATATTGCCATTTATATATGCATGACTACAAATTAATTTATAATTTTTATATTTAATAAAATTGTTGTGAATGGGAATGAAAAATGAAAAGTAAAGTGTGTCTTGAATGAAATTGATTGAAAGAGAAACAAATGATAGAAGCTAGGGCTAATTATTCAATGTTATTAGGTAACAATGAAAGCAGTCAAGATTGCGTACTGCACATCTCCTGTAATTAGAAAATGGAAAAATGATACAGATTTTTTTTACAATATTTTAATATAATGTAATATTTTTTCACTAGTTTATTATTTATTTATTGTTGTACTAATAACATATTTTAAATTTAATGGAAAAATACAAAGGTATCAAAATATTGTCAAAAATTTGTGTTAACGTATCATTACTTTTAGAAAATATGCACATATGTAAATAGTAAATAATGAAATGTTATTTTTATTTTTTATTATATATAATTAAGTAGACTTTAAACTTAACACGATCCTAATTTTATATTTATTTTTATTGGTGTTCATTTTTTATACATATTAATGAAACTAAATATTTATTAAATAGATTTTAGACTTAACACAATCCTAAATTTATATATATTTATATAGGTGTATTTACATTGGTGTGTGACTTTTTATATTGAAAAACTAAATATTAACAAATATATTATATATATTTATATCGGTATATTTATATTGGTGTGTGACTTTTTATATTAAAAAACTAAATATTAACAAAAAGGTTAAAGTTAAAATCTATTTCTTAACATAAATTATTTTACTTTTAAATTACTTGAAGAACCCATCAACCTTCAAAGATTAGGTAAGTGTGAGAATAACAATGACTTAAAAAATGCTTTACTATGGCGTCGTCAAATGCAACTCTTTATACACATTCACAACAATTCTTAAAGTTAGAACTATAACATTGACTAAAATTCCATTTTCATACTTAATTTCCTGTTTAATGTTCTATCCATTCATTAATTTCCTCAACAACGTCAAAGTCCTCGTTTTTTCATCTGTATTACCAAAATGTTTCTCAATCTGAATCATCAAAATCCTAATTTTTGGCAACATATTTTTTATAGGCTTAGTTGGTTTAAACTTTTTATTTTATATTGAAAATGCAACAGAAATTTTGGCACCATTGCAACAGTTCATCTTCCGTTTACCAAACAATGATTTTTTATAATTGAATCCGGTTTTTGAGCATTGAAAAACTTACTCCCTCATGGGAAACAATTAATCATAAATAATTGGAGGAAGTAACTAATAAATGGAGCATAGCACATGATATTATTATAACAAAATTCTGAGTTTTTTTTATTGTTTTAAAAATAAAATATGTCAGTTTTGGTATACTTTAATCTCATGTTATATTACTTAGTACTTGAGTTTAAAATAATTTAAATACATATATTTATTTTAATTTTTTTAGAGAAATTTTTTAAAAGTAAAATTGTGAGTTCAAAAACGGATAATACTATTCTAAATACAAAGCATCTTTCTCTAAGGAGAAGGTCGAAATTACATGGAAGTGATTATTTACCATGTAATTTATATTTATTATGATTTTTTTAATTTATTTTATCGTCACTTATTTTCTTTTTGATATTTTAATTTTAAAGTCATATAAGAATATAAACAATAGTTGTTAAAGAAAACATCTATTCATTTTCAAGGCTGATGGAAACCTCTGACTTATTTGACCGCTTCGATATTCAATGCATTTTTTTAAGAAACGAAAGACTAACATATTGAAAGAATAACGACAATTTAATTGTATGCCTAAAAGTTAAAAGCACAAAAGAAGCTTACGGAGAAAAAAAAAGAATATTAGATATTTTCCACAAAAATATTTAAGATGGATATAAATTTATAATAAAAAGAGAGTAAATGCTTTTATTAATAATGGATATAATTATTGGACAATTATAAGAAATAGTTTATATATAATTTTTTAAACAATATTTGTACTTTTTTTTGTATTTTTTTGAAATTTTGTTACGGTTGAGAAATTATTATTACTTTTTATTTTTTATTAATTATGCATTCTCCACTATAATATTTTAGAAGGTGAACAGAAAATTTTCACAACAAATTAAAATATTATTATGAATTTTAACCTTTTTGTTACACTCAAAATCCTATCAATCATTTATATTGTAAGAAATTTACTAAAGTAAGGAAATGGAAATTAATCGAACTCTATAATAAAATTACACATAAAAAACACAAACAAATTATATTTATTATAAAAAAATTAAATAAATATATATAAATGAAACATTAAATCAGTTATTTATTATTTATGCATCAAAGCCAAATTAGTTAATCAGTACAGTAATTTTCCTTGTAAAACAAAAAAACATAAAAAAAACTTACAAAAATATAAACACTACATCATCTTTTTCTAAAATTCTAAGAAATCTTTAATAAAAAACATGACAAACTAAAATTAAATCACCCCAAACAAAATATATGAAAATCCTTTATCCAATCATATGTATTCACACTCATTTGAATAAGATTGGTTTCATGTATTATAGTTAATATTCATTTTTTTAAAATTAATTAACTAGTATCAAATCTTGGTCAAGATACACAGTCACACCATTTTTTAATAAAAATGTACCTTGATTATTTAAATCGATAAGTGTCGTCCTTTAATTTACCAACCGAATTGGAAACTCCAAATCTCACAATATATCATATATAATATAATATTAAGATGTTGAACCAACCTCTATTGTTTAAACACAAATAACAAAATGGGATGGTATACATTTTTTAAAAAATAATGATACTTTTTGATAATATTTTTTTAACAATATTTTAATATTATTTATGTGTCAAAATTATTCTACAATAAATAATAATAATTATAAACCCCAACATGAACCAATTACATAATGACGCGTAAATGATATTAAAATGTTGTCAAAAAAATATTGTCAAATTATTATTTCTTTTGATAATCATATCGTCATGGTGCTTAGTTTGCTAGTAAAATTAATCACACACATTTGAATATAAAATCTGTAATTGAAATTAGTTCAAAGATACATGTAAGAGTTTAAAATGAATTTTACAAAAAATTAAACAAGTGGATGTCAAACAATTGAATGATAGCACGTGGTTTTATTATTTTTTGTTCTAGAGACATTGTACAGTGGTTTTTGATATCTGAGGAACAGAGAAAAGTGACGTCATAGTTATAATAGTCAATTTGGTGGTTTAAATGGATGGTGGAGTTTGCCGGACAATTTTCTCCAACATTACCTCATTATCTATGCTTACAAGCTACCTAGTTTTTGTTTTTGATCTTTAATAATATATTTTCTCTCATTAAAGTAATTCATTATTCTTTTTATTAAATGAAAAATTCACAACAATATTAACAATAT